CTCTCTCTCTCTCTCTCTCTCTCTCTCTCTCTCTCTCTCCCTCTCTCCCTCTTTCTCTTTTCCACTAATTGTCACAGACACCACATGAAATCAAGGAATGACACACAGATTTCAGAATTCATTCTTCTGGGATTTTCAGAGGACCCAGAACTGCAGCCCCTCATCTTTGGGCTGTTCCTCTTGATGTACCTGGTCACTGTGAGGGGGAACCTGCTCATCATCCTGGCCACCATTTCAGACTCCCACCTGCACACACCCATGTACTTCTTCCTCTCCAACCTGTCCTTTGTGGACATCTGCTTCACCTCCACCACCATCCCCAAGATGCTGGTGAACATCCAGACACAGAGCAAGGCCATTACCTACACAGTCTGCATCACCCAGATGTATTTTTTCATACACTTTGCAGGGCTGGACATCTTTCTTTTTACTGTGATGGCCTATGACCGGTATGTGGCCATCTGTCACCCCCTGCACCTCACTGTCATCATGAACCATGGGCTCTGTGTGTTGCTGGTTCTGATGTTCTGGACCTTGAGTGTTCCAAATGCTCTGTTACAAAGCTTAATGGCATTGCGACTGTCCTTCTGCACAAATGTGGAAATCCCCCACTTCTTTTGTGAACTTAACCAGGTGGTCCTCTGTGCTTGTTCTGACACTTTTCTCAATGACATAGTTATATATTTTTCATCTTTACTTCTGGCTTACTGTACCTTCACTGGCATCCTTTACTCTTACTCCAAGATCGTGTCCTCCATCCGTGCAATCTCTTCAGCTCAGGGAAAGTACAAAGCCTTCTCCACCTGTGTGTCTCACCTCTCTGTGGTCTCCTTATTTTATGGCACAAGCCTGGGTGTGTACCTCAGTTCTGCTGTTACCCCAAACTCATGCTCTACTGCAACAGCCTCGGTGATGTACACTGTGGTCACCCCCATGCTGAACCCCTTTATCTACACTCTGAGGAACAAGGACATTAAGAGTGCTCTTAGAAGACCCTTGGGAGGGCAATTATAGACAGTAATCTTCCTTTTTTGCCTGGTGAGTCCACTTAACATGATGTGCTCCAGTTCCATCCAAGTTGATATACAGGACTTCATTCTCTTTTTTTTTTTTTTGACTGAATAATATTTGACCATGTGCTTGCACTACATATATTTTTCTGCTCTTCAGCCAATGGACACCTTGGTTGATTCCTCATGTTGACTATTGCAAATAGGGCAGTCAACATGTATATGCAGGTTTATCATAGTTTTTCTTACTCTAACTCTTTTATTTTGTTAGTGGAATTTATACAACAAAGCAGAAATATTATAATGTGCTTTCTGTTTGTGTCTCAACTCATAGTTGTCTCCCTGTTTCACTGTGCAAGTCAAAGGGGTTCTTGGTTCTAGAACCTTGAAGTGCCTTGAAGTGCTGCAGCCTTGAATGGGGTTCACCATCATCACCCCCTAAAGGAGCCTCCTCAGCCACAATCTGTGGAATAAAGACATAAAGCTGGCCCAAAAATATTCTTTGGAAAGAAAGCCTCTAAGGGCTCCCGGGATGAAGAAGTGATTCTGATGGCAAAGCCCAAAGCTTCAAGCCAGTAATGGTGATTCTCAGTCAGGTGATGGGAGGAGAGCCTATCTTTCCCTTTATATCCCACAGTTTCCTTCTCTATGTTCATTAATATTCTGCTCTCTCTGATTCTCACACATTTCTTCCTCTGGCCACCCCCCTGCTTTCCTGCAGTTATTTCTTGTGTTGCATCAGAAAATATATGAAAATTCCTGTTTTGTTTAATATGATATTTTGTGCACCATTATTACATCCCGTGTATGACCAATTATGGGAGTGTGTAAGGCGGCCAGTTTTCATGGAGTGATGACATTGAGAAAGTCACCATGGAACTGAGCTAAGGAGTTACAAATATATTTCCTGATTAGCCAAGATGGCCCTGGGAGGAGACCCAGCAGAGCAGCATCTGGAGGAATAAACTTCCATGATGGGCTGATGGGTGGGTGGATGGGTGGATGGTTGGGCGGGGGAGTGAGTAGAGAGGAAGACATGTAAGAAAGCAAAAGTATCAGAAAGTTTCTTGCAGATGCGTGGTGAGTTGGTGGGGCTGCTCTGGGCACAATTCGGTCACCTCAGTGTACCTCTGAAATTCTTAATAATAAAGTGTTGGGAAAAGATCACCTGAATGTTTGGGGAAAGATATATTCTTTGTCTTGGTTGGGAGCAGATCCTGGAGAATGTATGTTTGGAAATGTCTCTGGATAATCAGGTACTATCACCCTCATCCACTCAAGTGTCAAATTTGACCAATGGACAGTGTTGACCACTGTGTGAATGAGGATGTCCAGAGCCCAACCTGGAGGTGAGGTGTGCACATCTTCATGGGCTCTGTGTCTAAGCACTGCAAGCTTCTCACTGTTGGTGTGTAGATAAGGGATGGGTAGATCATTGCTGTCACAGAAGCAGAGTGTGGAATAGAGACCCCGATTTGCTGACAAGGAAGGGGGAAGGAGACAGAGGGAGGTTGGAAAATGTTATTATATAATCTTTTATTCATGTATTTTAATTATACAGTATGGTGGGCTTCATTGTGCATTGGTATATTCATTAAAATAGACTTTATCACTGTTGTATGTGTCATTTTTTTCTTTATTTTTTTTGGGGTGTGAGGTGGGGTTAATCTCTGTTTTGATAAATCTAATGGGTGTGCTTCATTTCTGACTCTAGTCTTCTTCCAAAATGCAAAGACCTCTCCAGACCATATTCCATAAGAATCTGTGCAGACCATGGTGATGGTGTACATTTAGGATGGCATTTTTCATAAGATTTATGCCTAAAGACAGTAACCATACGCACATATATCTCATTATTTTCTCTATTCACCAGAATGATATCCACACTTCATCCACACAGATATCCATGGACTTCACCTGCTATGTTGATCCTTACGTTCTCATGATATTATGTAAATCTATGTGCACTATGAGAGAAAATATAGCAAAGAAGCTTAGGAAACAAAAGGATGGCAAAAAATAAAGCCAATTTAATACAGTGCTTTTGATATTCATTGACACATTTATACGTACAATGTAGTATATATTAAACAATGGAATACCATACAGCTCTCATTCTTTCATTTACAATAACATGAGTGACATTCGAGCATGGCACGCTAAGAGAAGTATGACAGGCACATTCTGTTAGGTGTCCATGAAATAAGAAAAACATTATATTAAACCATTTGCCTTGGGGATAGATCATTATGCAGCAATGGCTTACTGATACAGTGATTGATACAAACAGATCAGAGGTCATTCAGAATAATCTGTTGTTTCTTATTTTTGGCATCTGTTCTAATATTTGATTGCATTATTCCTAATGACCTGGATATTCATGTTCATTTCAGATCACCGTATTAAAAAACAGAATATGATTTATATTACCTTCTAAGCATTTGGGAGTGATTGAAAGCATATTTTAAAAATTTCATTTATTTTTTATTATTGCATTACAATTGTAAATAAAAGAGAGGTTCTTAATGCCATATCTCCGCATGCACATAGCAAAATTTGATGAATCTCAATCCCCAATACCTTCCTGTCCCTTCAGAGCAGGTTTTTTTTTCCCGCCTAGAAGTACCCTGTAGGTCCAAAGCAGAAGTCTCCATCAACAGAGCCATAACTGGGCCTCTTAGTCAATGTCTTGCAAGAGTCATCCTTTGATCATGAGGTTAAGAGAATTTAGGAGATTAAAGAGGAACTGAGGACAGCAATGCTCCTGTCACTCACTTACACACTAATGTGTGTGACAAAGCATGTAAAGGGGGAGATAGTTTATTAATGACAATGGAGGGAGTCATATCAGTTGACAGCACTCTAGAGTTTTAAGCAGAAACATGAGATGAAATAATACAGAAAATTCAGCAGGTCTTTTGGTCTAGTGTGACCCCATGGTGTGGACAGGGAGTGTCTATACTTCGGTGACTAGATGTGTGCATGGACCCAGCGTGACACAGCTGCAGCCATCTGGAGTCTTAGCCACCACAATTGCCCCAGAGTAACCCATGGTGGTGTTTCCTGCAGAGTTTCCAGCAAACTCTAGCAGACCAAGCCATCAGCCTGGTGTGTGCAGCTGTACAGCTGGACCTGGCTCCAGGGACGCCCCTGACTTGATATAAGCTTAAGATAAACCAGGTACATGCTGGCTCAGATGAAGTCATTGTCCTAACCCATATATATGCTCTTCCTTCTGACCCAAACTGCAGGGATCCACTTGGTGTCACTGTGGTCCAGGACCAGGCTTCTGTCTGTAAGTCCCCAGTAAACTCTGCACTTTGGGTCCATCTGCCTCTCTTTCTTAAGCAGGTTGGGGCTGGTTCTCATGCACCAGGCCCAGTTGCTCCAGAACCATGTACATCACCAAAAAGAAATCTTCCAGAGTAATTCAAGTATGGTTGAATATTTTAGTCCACAGGATTCTTGGTCATATCTGACTCTAAGTCAACTAAGACATTAAAATTGGTCTCTCAGTGTCCATTATAGTTCTAACATGTATTAGATTCATAATTTTGGCCTTACTACACTATGCAGGGTAAACAGGATGCACTGAGGACCATGCTGGAGAGGAACAAGACCATTATGGGGAGAACAAACACCTGTGACAGCTGGAAAACATAGTAGTATGCTAAGGTCTGTGTTAAGGAGAGACGAGCAAGGAATCAGGAACACAGGTGTCAAAAACTATACTTTCAGATTGTCTCCTGCTATAAAGTTATACAAATGACCTCAGCTGCCTAATGTAGTTCATACCGCATTAGTGCAAATAATAATCACATTGGGCAGTAGGAAACTCAAAATATTTCCAAAAACTTTGAGAAAGTAGGAAAAATGACAATACGGAAAACTACCATTGAATATTAGAAACAGCAGAAATTTTAATAAAGGGAGTTGTTTAAATTATATAAAGTCATCAAAGTTAAAGAAACTTGACACTCAAAGAAAAATCTTGGAGGAACAAGTTGTGCTTCTGTGACCTGACCATGGAACTCTGGTCACTATCTCTGAGGAGGACAGTCCTGCAGTAGGGAGAGTTCTGGAAAATCACGATTACAGTTTTCCTCAGGGGTATCTTTTTGGAGTGCTCTTGATGTCCTTATTCCTCAGACTATAGATGTAGGGGTTCAGCATGGGGGTGACCATGCTGTACATCACCGAGGCTATTGCACTTGAGTGTGAATTATGGTCAGAGCAGAATTAAGGTACACACTGAAGCTTATTAAGTAAAATAAGGAGACCACAGAGAGGCGAGACACACAGGTGGAGAGGGCTTTGTACTTGCCCTGAGCTGAAGAGATTGAATTTATGGAGGAAAGTATCTTAGAATAAGAGTAAAGGATGCAATCAAGGGGCCCCCCCGCCCAGCAGCACAGATGTAAAGTACATCACCATGTCATTAGGGAAAGTGTCAGAACAGGCAAGTTGGACCACCTGATTAGTTCACATAAAAAGTGGGGGATTTCCAAGTCTGTGCAGAAGGACAGTTGCAACACCATTAAGCTTTGTAACAGGGCATGCAGGACACTCAGGATCCAGCACATCACAACCATCAACATGTAGAGCTGGGGGTTCATGATGACTGTGTAGTGCAGCGGGTGAGAGATGGCCACAAAGTGGTCATAGGCCATCATGGCCAGGAGGAAGTTTTCCAAACTGGCAAAGACTATGAAAAAGTGCATCTGCATGATGCAGCCTTCAAAGCTTATGGCCTCGCTCTGTGTCTGCAGGTTCACCAGCATCTTTGGGACAGTAGTGGAGGTGATACATGTCAGAAAAAGACAAGTTGCTGAGGAAGAAGTATGTGGGTGTGTGAAGGTGGGATACTGAGGTGATGACCAGGATGATGAGCAGGTTCCCACACACAGTGATCAGGTACATGGAGAGGAAAAACCCAAAGGGGAAGTTTTGCCATCCAGGTTGCTCTGAAAATCCCAGAAGATGGAATTCTGAAATTTGAGTACC